AAAATTAACTAATTATGCAAATTAGGTAATTAATAGGCACAATTATTTATCCCAAAATTAATCAGGTCTCTGCATAGTCCTAGAAAAAATGTAGCAATTCTCATTGAAATGTGATGATTAGTACTTGAGATATCAGGTGAAAATCTGAAAATTAACTAATTATGCTAATAAGGTGATTAATATGCACAAATAGTTTACCCAAAAAATAATTAGGTTTCTGCACAGTCCTCAAGTAACTATGTACCAAGTTTCATTGAAACGTGATCATTACTACTCGAAATATCAAAAGCTGAAAATTAATTAATTATGCAAATTAGGTAATTAATATGTACTGATATTACCCTAAAAACTATCAGGTCTGTGCAGTGTCATACGACACCTATGTACCAAGTTTTATTGAAATGTTATGATTAGTACTTGAGATATCACTGGAAAAACTGAAAATTGATTAATTGATTAATTAAGGTAATTAATAATATTAACAGATTTTTACCCAAAACTAAACAAATCTGCGCATTAGTTCAGAGCATCCATGTGCCAAGTTTCATTGAAATCCAATGAGTGGTTCTTCAAAAATCAGTGGAACAGTCATAGAACAGCTTAAAATCAGTTAATTACCGTACCATGCAAATTAGGTATTTAATATTCATAGATTTTTACCCAAAACTAATCAAATCTGCGCACTAGTTCAGAGCATCCATGTGCCAAATTTCATCAAAATCCAATTAATGGTTCTTCAGATATCAGTGGAACAGTCTTGAAACAGCTAAAAATCAGTTAATTATCATGCAAATTAGGTATTTAATATTCATAGATTTTTACCCAAAACTAATCAACTCTGCGCATTATCCCAGAGTATCTATTTACCAAGTTTCACCAAAATTTGATTAGTGGTTCTTGAGATAACGGTGGAACAAAAAAAGTGACATACATACATACATACATACATACATACATACAGACAGGGTAACTGCAAAGACTCCCTTTTGTGCTTCGCACACGGGAGTCAAAACTGTTCACATGACAACAAAAAATATTCACTATATTTATTATGCATTATTTTGTTGTTGGTAGCAAATGATCACGGTACGGTAGCTTACAATGTACTTGTTTTCGAAGTGTTGTAATTGTTGATTAGTACTCAGTAGTGATTATATTAACGTACAAAAAATAAATTTGTTGAATTGTTATGAAATGCAAGTAAAATTCAACTTAGTTTTATCGTAAGCAAATGTTTTCGGTTACATGTTAACGCTCGATGAGACGATATCCGCCATGTTATCCAAGCCCACAACGCGTGTTTATTGACCAGATAGGTCAAGTCGCTAATCAACCAATCAAAATGCTGGATGGTGCCCAT